GGTGCTTTCTCTCCCTCTTGTTCCGTGGTGCTTTCTCTCCCCCTTGTTCCGTGGTGCTTTCTCTCCCTCTTGTTCCTCTGTGTTACTTTCTCTCCCCCTTGCTCCGTGGTGCTTTCTCTCCCTCTTGTTCCGTGGTGCTTTCTCTCCCCCTTGTTCCGTGGTGCTTTCTCTCCCTCTTGTTCCTCTGTGTTACTTTCTCTCCCCCTTGCTCCGTGCTTTACACCTTCATTCATTAATAAAAAAGTAATTAAAATTCCCAACTACAAGTGTTTACAGTTTTAAAGTCGACACGTTCGTCATACCTGGGCGTGGTGTGTATGTGTGTATGACCGGTGACTCCTGCTGGTGCTCCATACATGTTGTGTATGATCACACAGCTAGTTTACGGAGTGTCAACACTGGCTGGGTTAAGTATACACCCCACGAGACACTGTTTACTGTGTACTTCCAGATGCACCTGTAGATGGCAGCACCCTGGCGGTGGACCTCTCCAGCGCCCCTGATGTGGCCCCAGAGGTCAGTCACTATGCATACAACACTATTGTATTATACAACTCATTGGTATTTGAGGATTTTAGCTTTTATTGCAGTATAAAATAGATGCAACAAACCCTTCAGTTGGTGGTCAGATGTTTATGTCAAGTATTAACTTATTAAAGGCGTTGAAAGTGAAAAGTCAAATTCTTAATTATTAAAGTCAGTTAAAGTATTAAAGTCAATAATTATTAACATTATTAGTCAATAATTTTGATATTAAAGTCAATAATTTTGTTTCGTTGGTCACTACTTGTGTTTCCAGGACAATATTCTTGCCCATATTAGTTATACCAACGGCCAAGTTGTTGTGGTCACTGGTAACGACCATTAAGGTGATGCAGACGAGGAGTCACAATAACGTGACTGAACTATGTTGACCAAAGCACACATTAGAAAGTGAAGGGATGACGACGTTTCGGTCCGTCTTGGAGCATTCTCAAGTCGGTTGTGGGATCGAGTTGAGAACGGTCCAGGACGGACAGAAACGTCGTCGTCCCTTCACTTTCTAGTGTGTAGTTTGGTCAACATTAAGGAGATGTTTAACGAGGCTGTGTTGGCAGACATGTGGGTACTACCTGGTCTGCGTCACCACCATGAATCAACCAGTTAACGCAACTCCACACTTCGACTACAAGTGCGTCATGCAAGTGAAGCAATGTATGGAAGGTGAGTCATCCGTCGTGACTCGTGACTCGTCGTGACTCACGTGAGTCGTGAGTCATACATATGTGTATGAGTGAACATACACTCATACACAGACTCGTGTATCACTTATTATGGATTGAACGTTTAACGTGTATTAAGCAGCTATTGCTTGGACTTGTTCATGCATATATATATATATTTATATACTTTGATCTTATTTTACATATTTACTTTATATATTCAATATAATTATTATGTGGCGTAAAAATATGATGAGTTAAGAGACGATCCCAGAGTGTGTGGGATTACCTTAACCTAACCTGACCCTTCCCTACATCACCAGTTCCTTGTCCCCACTATCCCTGTACCTTGTCCCCCCCTATCCCTGTACCTTGTCCCCCCCTATCCCTGCACCTTGTCCCCACTATCCCTGCACCTTGTCCCCACTATCCCTGTACCTTGTCCCCCCTATCCCTGTACCTTGTCCCCCCTATCCCTGTACCTTGTCCCCACTATCCCTGTACCTTGTCCCCCCTATCCCTGTACCTTGTCCCCCCTATCCCTGTACCTTGTCCCCCCTATCCCTGCACCTTGTCCCCCCTATCCCTGCACCTTGTCCCCCCCTATCCCTGCACCTTGTCCCCCCCTATCCCTGCACCTTGTCCCCCCCTATCCCTGCACCTTGTCCCCCCCTATCCCTGCACCTTGTCCCCCCTATCCCTATCCAGTGCTGTACAACCATACTGGCTCAGCGCCTTCTTATAACTACCTATTTAAAGATGAATAAATTCTAGAAGTAACTGATGAGTGTGTGGGCAGAGGTGGACCTGGTGTGGGTGGCCGAGGGTGTCGGGGAGGACGCCCCGTATGTCTACGTCAACGCCCAGGGTCCCGTCTACGCCAGTGGTGAGTCACGCTCCTGCTCCGACCTCACCTAACCTACCCTAACCTTACCTAACCTTACCTAACCTCACCTAACCTAATCTAATCTAACCTAACCTAACCTAATCTAACCTAACATTACCAAACCTAACCTAACCTAACCTAACCTAACCTAACCTAATCTAACCTAACATTACCAAACCTAACCTAACCTAACCTAACCTAATCTAACCTAACCTAACCTAACCTAATCTAACCTAACATTACCAAACCTAACCTAACCTAACTTAACCTAACCTAACCTAACCTAACCTAACCTAACCTAACCTAATCTAACCTAACATTACCAAACCTAACCTAACCTAACTTAACCTAACCTAACCTAACCTGACCTAACCTTACCCCCCAAGTGTTTACCTACCGTCGTCGATACAAGAGTATGCCTTAGTCAAGAATATGCCTTAGTCAAGGGTATGCCTTAGTCAAGAGTATGCCTTAGTCAAGAGTATCCCTTAGTCAAGACTATGCCTTAGTCAAGAGTATGCCTTAGTCAAGACTATGCCTTAGTCAAGAGTATGCCTTAGTCAAGAGTATGCCTTAGACAAGAGTATGCCTTAGACTAGAGTATGCCTTAGTCAAGAGTATGCCTTAGTCAAGAGTATGCCTTAGTCAAGACTATGCCTTAGTCAAGAGTATGCCTTAGTCAAGAGTATGCCTTAGACAAGAGTATGCCTTAGTCAAGACTATGCCTTAGTCAAGACTATGCCTTAGTCAAGAGTATGCCTTAGACAAGAGTATGCCTTAGTCAAGAGTATGCCTTAGTCAAGAGTATGCCTTAGTCAAGAGTATGCCTTAGTCAAGACTATGCCTTAGTCAAGAGTATGCCTTAGACTAGAGTATGCCTTAGTCAAGAGTATGCCTTAATCAAGAGTATGCCTTAGTCAAGAGTATGCCTCCTGGCCACCCATCCTCCTGTTTACTTTTTATAACAATGTGCACCATAGTACAAAGATTGACGTACTAAGAAATTAGACAGTAGAACTTTGTACTTTTCACTTTATAGAGTCCGACAAAATTAAGCTATAAACAAACTAGGGCCATTATATTTGTCCCAGGAATATTTCAATATTCCTAGGGACAAGTATAGTACACACTTGTACTATATGAGGCCTCTGATATCGAGTATTAGACCTAGGAAGGTTAAGTTAGTTTATCTCTGCAACAGAAGTAGAAAATCATTTTTCCAGTTTGTTCAAATTCAATAGTACTGATTTCGACTTTCTAACTGCGTTGTACGTCGGTATATGTACTATGGTCCTCATCCTTGCTGTAAGTACTACCAAAACAGGAAGATGGGCTGGAAGGTCAGTTGTATTTCCTGTTGGTAAACATGAGTACCTTGGTGGTGCAGGTATGGCAGTGAGCATCATGAACGGGGGCCCGGAGGCTCTCTCCAGCTCCTCCGCTCTCAACGCCCCGGAGGTGGCCGCCTTCATCTCCTTGAGGGAACCTTTTGACGACAGCAGCACCCTCTTCTCCAACACCAACATGTAAGTCAACCACCAGATATATTCTGCACCAACACTTCCCCAGATCCTCTAATGTCTGTGAGAACATATTGATATGCCTGTTAAGGCCCATCATGGGCCAGTTGGTGATGTGTGTGTCTGGGGAGACTAGTGGTATATGGTGAGACTATATATATATATATATATATATATATATATATATATATATATATATATATATATATATTGCAAACTATTGTTGGGTGGGAATAGGATTTCATGCATCTACTAACCCTGTATATGTATGTTCGAACACCCCCTCCCCCCACCACTTCCTCGCGGATATGAATCAATGTCACTGGGATGAACATAGGGTGGTCGGAGGTCACCATAATTCAAAAGAGAACAACGTGGCAGTGCCACATTCAGACCCCCACGAGGTGGTTATTTGTTCCTGCCAGACAGCGACGTATCTAAATATTTTAAAAACAAAACATAAGAAAGAGAGAGACAGACAAATAGAGAAAGACAGAGACACAGAGACTCAGAAGCAGTAATTATAACATATCATAATGGTCAGGTTTGTCCCCCGCCCCCAGGTCCCTCCAGGAGGCCATGCAAGAGTTCACCTCCATCAACCTGGTGTTTGAGTCCTACGGTAATGATGGACTCTTCCGCCTCCCGGGCTGGGAGATGTTGCTGATTGATGCCGGCACCAACACCACCATGGGTAAGTGGACCTCCCCCAGCGCTGTCTCGGTCCTTGTCAACACCTCTGTAACACTGTCTCAGTAGTTGTCAAGACTTCAGCAACACTGCCTCAGTAGTTGTCAACACCTCTGTAACACTGTCTCAGTAGTTGTCAAGACCTCAGCAACACTGCCTCGGTCCTTGGTAACACCTCTGTAACACTGCCTCAGTAGTTGTCAACACCTCAGCAACACTGCCTCAGTAGTTGTCAACACCCTAGCAACACTGCCTCAGTAGTTGTCAACACCCTAGCAACACTGCCTCAGTAGTTGTCAACACCCTAGCAACACTGCCTCTTTAGCTGTCAACACCCTAGCAACACTGCCTCAGTAGTTGTCAACACCTCTGTAACACTGCCTCAGTAGTTGTCAACACCTCAGCAACACTGCCTCAGTAGTTGTCAACACCCTAGCAACACTGCCTCAGTAGTTGTCAACACCCTAGCAACACTGCCTCAGTAGTTGTCAACACCCTAGCAACACTGCCTCAGTAGCTGTCAACACCCTAGCAACACTGCCTCAGTAGTTGTCAACACCTCTGTAACCCTGCCTCAGTAGTTGTCAACACCTCAGCAACACTGCCTCAGTAGTTGTCAACACCCTAGCAACACTGCCTCAGTAGTTGTCAACACCCTAGCAACACTGCCTCAGTAGCTGTCAACACCCTAGCAACACTGCCTCAGTAGTTGTCAACACCTCAGCAACACTGCCTCAGTAGTTGTCAACACCTCAGCAACACTGCCTCAGTAGTTGTCAACACCTCAGCAACACTGGGCTGTAAAACCTTTGATAGAATATTATATTCAAATTAGACACACATAAAAGATTGTTCTCTGGGTGAGACTCGAGGTGGTGATAGGAGGAGAACAGACAGAGAAGGAGATAATAGACAGAGAATGAGAGAACAGACAGAGAAGGAGATAATAGACAGAGAATGAGAGAACAGACAGAGAAGGAGAGAATAGACAGAGAATGAGAGAAGTATATGTAGTGAGGGACACAGTACCGGGGACTTACCGACCTGCTGCTTGTCACTTGGATCAGGTTTCTCAGGCAACATAGAGAGGATGTTTTTACATCAAGGATTTTATGGTATTAATTGTTGTGTTGTACATCAGTGTTGTGTTGTTGTGGAGTTGTGTTGTATGTACATCAGAGGTGTTTGTCTGTGCATTGATACCGATGCCATCCAAGAATAAATTAAAGTAAAGCACTTAGACAATATCACATACAGTATGTCACTACCTCAAGTGAACAACATTGTCTCGAAGAATGTTTCACTGTTATACATCACTGCTCCCTGACCTTGTTTAACGACCCCTGCAGAAAAGGTCCACCTCAACTTCCAGTACAAATCTTTGTCCACCGCAGCGCTGCCGGCCAACTCCAGTCTGGCGGTGGACCTGAGCCTGTTGACGGGGCCGTCCAAGCTGCCGTGTCAGTCTGGCATCCTCGTCCTCCTCCTCGACCCTTACAACAGGACCAACGACGTCGACAGATCCAACAACATCGTTATGTTTCCCATCGACCTCCTGTGCTCCGGTGGTGGGGGTGAGTATGGAGATGTTGACTACAGTGTTATCAGGGAGGGAGGGAGGGAGGGAGGGTGTTTTGTGCGTGTCTGTGTACTTACCAAACTATGTTTGTGAGTGTTGGGCTTTAGCTCCTCATTCCACTTCTTAAATTGCCGTCATACCTATTTTTAACTGCATGGATAGGGGTCATTCGCCTCTATCTCACTTCCTGGCTTGTTCCACTTCCACATTACTGTGTGTGTGTGTGTGTGTGTGTGTGTGTGTGTGTGTGTGTGTGTGTGTGTGTGTGTGTGTGTGTGTGTGTGTGTGTGTGTGTGTGTGTGTGTGTGTGTGTTTGTGTGTGTGTGTGTACTCACCTATTTGTGTGTGTTTGTGTGTGTGTGTGTACTCACCTATTTGTGTGCTCACCTATTTGTGCTTGCGGGAGTTGAGTTCTGGCTCTTTGGCCCCGCCTCTCAACCGTCAATCAACAGGTGTACAGGATCCTGAGCCTACTGGGCTCTATCATATCTACACTTGAAACTGTGTATGGAGTCAGCCTCCACCACATCACTGCATAATGCATTCCATTTGTCAACCACTTTGACACTAAAAAAGTTCTTTCTAATATCTCTGTGGCTCATTTGGGCACTCAATTTCCGCCTGTGTCCCCTAGTGCGTGAGCCCCCTTGGGTTAAATAGCATGTCCTTATCTACCCAATCAATTCCTTTGAGAATCTTGAATGTGGTGATCATGTCCCCCCTAACTCGTCTGTCTTCCAGCGATGTGAGGTTAAGCTCCCATAGTCTCTCCTCGTAGCTCATACCTCTCAGCTCGGATACTAGTTTGGTGGCAAACCTTTGAACCTCTGTACAACACTAATAGTGGATTACCTAGTACGTGTGAGACTAATCTCAGTAGACTGTAAGTAATACCATCCTCTCCAGGAGCAGTTAATTCCAGTTGACGGAGAGTTTGGTGTAGGAGCGATGAGAGTGTCGCAGACGGCGGCCAACGGAGCTTGGTCTCAGTAGACTTTACTGGCGTTATGGTTAAGGTTCCTGTTGTGGGTTGCAGAGTCGATTGGGAGCATGTGTGAGGTGATCCCCTACATGGAGAGTGAGGGCCGCGACGCCATGCTTCTTGTCAAGGACAACTTTAGCCCCGCTAGTTACGTCTACAAGGTGAGTTACTCTTATGTGTTGGGGGCTAGTTACGTCTACAAGGTGAGTTACTCTTGTGTGTTGGGGGCTGGCTACGTCTACAAGGTGGGATATGCCTCAGCTATGTCTACAAGGTGGGGTATGCCCCAGATACGTCTACGATTGTGCATAAAAATTATCGATTCTTCGCTACCCAGGAAGATCCTGCCACAAAGCTATGATCTCTACGGGTGCTTGTGTATCTTTCTCCTGCTCACTAGGTAGAGTGAAGCACTGTACCCTTCACACTCCTCACTCTACCGTTATTACAGCGCATAGCGCACACTCTCTCTTCACAAATCGCTCGAGCTTCAATTTGGAAGATCGATCTTTAATTTCCTAACTAATGAACACAATCCAAATGTCTGCACCTATAATTACCTTAGACAAAGGGTGAGCAGTCTCCATGAGTCTCTCTCTCGCTTCACATGCAGTGAGCTCCGTTCTGCTCTGTGCGAGGATGTGTTGTCAGGACACCTGTATTCATCTAGTTGTATTCACCTAGTTGTACTTGCGGGGGTTGAGCTCTGCTCTTTCGGCCCGCCTCTTAACTATCAATCAACTGTTACTAACTACTTTTTTACCCGCACACCACACACACACACCCCAGGAAGCAGCCCGTGACAGCTGACTAACTCCTAGGTACCTATTTACTGCTAGGTAACACGGGCATCAGGGTGAAAGAAACTTCGCCCATCGTTTCTCGCCGGCGCCGGGAATCGAACCCGGGCCACAAGATCACGTGTCCAGGGTGCTATCCACACAGCCACCAGCGCCCCGGCGTGTGTTAGTTGGGACGGTGTTGTCAGCACCGCTGACAACATGTGTAAGGGCTCCTGACAGCTGAATGGACAGCGCTTCGGATTCGTAGTCCTGAGGTTCCGTGTTCGTTCCCCGGTGGAGGCGGAGACAAATGGGCAAAATGTTTATTTCACCCTGATGCCCCCTGTTACCTAGCAGTAAATAGGTACCAGGAAGTTAGACAGCTGCTACGGGCTGCTTCCTGGGGTGGAGGTCTGGTCGAGGACCGGGCCGCGGGAACGCTAAGACCCGAAATCATCTGAAGAAAACCGCCTCAGTGGGAGGTGACATAGTCAGTTGAGCTCAACGCTCTACCTTGTCTAGACGCCTCACAGAGATCGCTTATTGACTCTTCACGTTCTGCTTAAGTACACTTAGAGCTCCTCATAGCTCCGAGCTTCTGTTGCTCTATGTTACTAGAGTACACTTCAAGTATTAAGTAACCAACAGCCAGGTCACACTTGTAACGTCTGGGAACTCTGCCTCCTCTCCTCTCTTCCCCGTCACTTATACCGTCACCTTCCAGGGCAGGGCACTGTTACTTGCATGTCCGTAGCATGTCTTTCTGAAGAATTACAGTCATGTCTCCCTGGGCTCACTGAGCGCATTATACACGCTTCTTCCTTTGTTTACGTCGCCTTCCATAACACGAAACACCGTGACTACAATATTACCATAACATCCACGTGTGTGTGTGTGTACGCACCTATTTGTACTCACCTAGTTGTGTTTGCGGGGGTTGAGCTTTGCTTTTTCGGCCCGCCTCTGAACTATCAATCAACTGTTTACTAACTACTTTTTTCACACCAAACACACACCCCAGGAAGCAGCCCGTGACAGCTGACTAACTCCCAGGTACCTATTTACTGCTAGGTAACAGGGGCATTCAGGGTGAAAGAAACTTTGCCCATTTGTTTCTGCCTGGTGCGGGAATCGAACCCGCGCCACAGAATTACGAGTCCTGCGCGCTATCCACCAGGCTACCAGGCCCCCTGGTAGTTTGTGTGTGTGTGTGTGTGTGTGTGTGTGTGTGTGTGTGTGTGTGTGTGTGTGTGTGTGTGTGTGTAATTGAGTAAATCGTGACTCTTTCTGCACAATAAAGTAACTGTAACAAGGGTCACGGCAGGATTTATTAGTCTCTGTATTTATTAATTCTTGTGGTAATATACTGTCGTGTGTGGCAGGGCGAGGGCCACCGCCGGGGGTTCCTGACGGCGACGTCGGCCGACGTGGAGAAGAAGTCGATGCAGTACAATTGGGCCAACGACCGGGCCGCCAGGCTGCAGGCCCTGAACCTGTGCCCCATGGAGGATCCTGCCTCGGACGGGGCCCCCAACAACTCCCTGGTGATGAGGGCCAAGAGGGTCCTCGACACCCTCCTGGTGGATATGAAGTCAATGACGACGGATGTAAGTGTTTATAGCTTGTAGGAACACTCTGGGGTGACCGGGTGTGTCATCCGGACTCCTCAGCTTGATGGCTGATTGCTGATCTGTGCCCGGCTGCTACTAAATTATTCCGGATAAGGAGTAAAGAACTCAGAGGAGAGCATCTCTCTCTCTCTCTCTCTCTCTCTCTCTCTCTCTCTCTCTCTCTCTCTCTCTCTCTCTCTCTCTCTCTCTCTCTCTCTCTCTCTCTCTCTCTCTCTCTCTCTCTCTCTCTCTCTCTCTCTCTCTCTCTCTCTCTCTCTCTCTCTCTCTCTCTCTCTCTCTCTCTCTCTCTCTCTCTCTCTCTCTCTCTCTCTCTCTCTCTCTCTCTCTCTCTCTCTCTCTCTCTCTCTCTCTCTCTCTCTCTCTCTCTCTCTCTCTCTCTCTCTCTCTCTCTCTCTCTCTCTCTCTCTCTCTCTCTCTCTCTCCTCCTTTCACCTTGCCCCCACAAGCTGTCGTATGGACGCATGTTTCCTTCTATAACTTGTATACATTTATGTTCATGATATTAACAAAGTGTTGACGTATACTAAGTCCTTTTACCTTCTTCTCAGTAAACTAACAAGGGACCGTGTTCCTTAAATCTTACTGGGGAGAGTTCACATTGACGAGAGGTGTCTATTTGCCCTGCAACATTGCATCGTATATGTCACGTTGATAACTGTTGATGTCGACAGAGCGCGGAGGAGATGGAGGCCCACCAGCAGGTGCTCCTGATGGCCGAGGTGGCCAGCGACCTGATTGGCGAGGCCATGGAGGAGGACGGCGTGTGGAGGAGCCTGGCGCTCAAGATCCTGGGCATGGAGGTCCGCACGATGATGAAACACCAGTTTGGCCCCTTGGCCATGATGATATGTTCTGGTGGTATGGGGCCCTTTGGTGAGACGGGACTGTTTGGTGGAAAAGGCATGTTTGGTGGAATGGGCAACCAGGATAAATGGGGGTCGAAGGGGCGAACAGATACATTTTTTGGATCGAGGCTATTAAATATATTACCTAACTTAGCATCTGTGTTTAATGGGACAGGACTCCCCTTCCAACTACCATCCTTCCTACTGAACAGAACAGGACTCGCTGGAATATTTGGATCCTGGAATATGCTTCGATCGTCGCTACCTTTAGGCCTGACAGCTGGACAGTGGAATGGAACGGGATTTCCGTTCGGATCCAAGTGCTGGCGGTTCAATGGAACGGGTTCACCCTTTAATCTGAGCTCCTTACGGTGGGGTGGACTGGGCCACTTGCTCTGGAATGGGTCAGGACTCTGGTTCTTAAATGGAACGGGACAAAATGGTGCGCTGGGACCTTGGTTGTGGAATGCAACCACACCATTGCCTTTTGGAACGGATCCCTGGTTATGGAACGGAACATCAGTCTGGCACTGTAACAAAACTGCAGCGACATCTATATTCCCAAACCTGAACAATTTGTTTGGAACGACAAGATTCCGTTTTCTCCATTCAGGACAAGAGTAAGTACCATCCTTTCTATATATCAATGGTCGTGTAAGTGTACATACTGAATACATGTGTACATATTGAACACATGTAATTATATTATAAATGCAATATTTCACATATCTTCGACATGTACTTCATGTCACATGATTCAACAGAAGAACATGTAATCAATACTAAGCTTTAAACTGTCACTTGTTTTCTAAATATGTATTAATCTGGAAATGTTTATAAATGGTTACCCATAACAACCAGTGTAATCCGGTAGTTAAAGTTACCCCCCCCCCATAACCCCGGGACTAGCACCGAAGGGTTTGATCCTACTGACGTCTCCTAAGATCAACTGGCCCAAGTTACTGCCCAGTTCCCAATTAGTGGCTGTTACTAGCACAGGTGGTGGTGGTGTAGCCGGGCAGGCGAGGGCTGCCCCGCCCCACCAGCGGCCTCTCACCTCCACAACCATCATCTGCCGCTGTCTCCAGCTGGGTCGTCCGTCTTCTCTCCTCCCACCACGTGTGGCACTCTCTGGCACTCCATGACTCTCTGGCACTCCATGACTCTCTGGCACTACATGACTCTCTGGCACTCCATGACTCTCTGGCACTCCATGACTCTCTGGCACTCCATGACTCTCTGGCACTACATGACTCTCTGGCACTACATGACTCTCTGGCACTACATGACTCTCTGGCACTCCATGACTCTCTGGCACTACATGACTCTCTGGCACTACATGACTCTCTGGCACTACATGACTCTCTGGCACTCCATGACTCTCTGGCACTCCATGACTCTCTGGCACTATATGGCACTCTGACACTCCCATTCATTGTGCCTCTATCTCTTCAAAAAGCACTTGAAAGTGACGCTTTCTGAAGTTAATTTTAGTCTCGTCGTTTCACCACTGCCCCGTGTTGGGGAGAGGCGCCCCCTAGTGTGTGTTTCACCACTGCCCCGTGTTGGGGAGAGGCGCCCCCTAGTGTGTGTTTCACCACTGCCCCGTGTTGGGGAGAGGCGCCCCCTAGTGTGTGTTTCACCACTGCCCCGTGTTGGGGAGAGGCGCCCCCTAGTGTGTGTTTCACCACTGCCCCGTGTTGGGGAGAGGCGCCCCCTAGTGTGTGTTTCACCACTGCCCCGTGTTGGGGAGAGGCGCCCCCTAGTGTGTGTTTCACCACTGCCCCGTGTTGGGGAGAGGCGCCCCCTAGTGTGTGTTTCACCACTGCCCCATGTTGGGGAGAGGCGCCCCCTAGTGTGTGTTTCACCACTGCCCCGTGTTGGGGAGAGGCGCCCCCTAGTGTGTGTTTCACCACTGCCCCGTGTTGGGGAGAGGCGCCCCCTAGTGTGTGTTTCACCACTGCCCCATGTTGGGGAGAGGCGCCCCCTAGTGTGTGTTTCACCACTGCCCCGTGTTGGGGAGAGGCGCCCCCTAGTGTGTGTTTCACCACTGCCCCATGTTGGGGAGAGGCGCCCCCTAGTGTGTGTTTCACCACTGCCCCGTGTTGGGGAGAGGCGCCCCCTAGTGTGTGTTTCACCACTGCCCCATGTTGGGGAGAGGCGCCCCCTAGTGTGTGTTTCACCACTGCCCCGTGTTGGGGAGAGGCGCCCCCTAGTGTGTGTTTCACCACTGCCCCGTGTTGGGGAGAGGCGCCCCCTAGTGTGTGTTTCACCACTGCCCCGTGTTGGGGAGAGGCGCCCCCTAGTGTGTGTTTCACCACTGCCCCGTGTTGGGGAGAGGCGCCCCCTAGTGTGTTTCACCGCTGCCCCGTGTTGGGGAGAGGCGCCCCCTAGTGTGTGTTTCACCGCTGCCCCGTGTTGGGGAGAGGCGCCCCCTAGTGTGTGTTTCACCACTGCCCGTGTTGGGGAGAGGCGCCCCCTAGTGTGTGTTTCACCACTGCCCCGTGTTGGGGAGAGGCGCCCCCTAGTGTGTGTTTCACCACTGCCCCGTGTTGGGGAGAGGCGCCCCCTAGTGTGTGTTTCACCACTGCCCCGTGTTGGGGAGAGGCGCCCCCTAGTGTGTGTTTCACCACTGCCCCGTGTTGGGGAGAGGCGCCCCCTAGTGTGTGTTTCACCACTGCCCCGTGTTGGGGAGAGGCGCCCCCTAGTGTGTGTTTCACCACTGCCCCGTGTTGGGGAGAGGCGCCCCCTAGTGTGTGTTTCACCACTGCCCCGTGTTGGGGAGAGGCGCCCCCTAGTGTGTGTTTCACCACTGCCCCGTGTTGGGGAGAGGCGCCCCCTAGTGTGTGTTTCACCACTGCCCCGTGTTGGGGAGAGGCGCCCCCTAGTGTGTGTTTCACCACTGCCCCGTGTTGGGGAGAGGCGCCCCCTAGTGTGTGTTTCACCACTGCCCCGTGTTGGGGAGAGGCGCCCCCTAGTGTGTGTTTCACCACTGCCCCGTGTTGGGGAGAGGCGCCCCCTAGTGTGTGTTTCACCACTGCCCCGTGTTGGGGAGAGGCGCCCCCTAGTGTGTGTTTCACCACTGCCCCGTGTTGGGGAGAGGCGCCCCCTAGTGTGTGTGTGTGTGTGTCCCCCCTTTCACACCCTCACCCTCACCCTGACCTCCCCCCCCCCTCCCAGGGGCAAACTATCCCCAGGATGCACCCTTCAACTCTTGCCTAACTCCCGAGCACCTATTTTACTGGTAGGTGAACACCACCATCAGGTGAAAGAAAACGTGCCCAACTGATTCTGTCCTGTCCGCGGACTGAACTTCTCGACTCGGTTGTGAGTCGAGAAGGTACATAACACTGATATTAGCTAAGTCACGCTACAGGAAGGTCCTGGGTAAATACTAGTTTGGGAACAGCTGGATTGTTGATGAAACAAATTACCGGTTAACATAACAGACGTGGATCACTGAGTTGTTTCAAGCGTAGGTTAGACATATATATGAATGGGTATAGGTGGATATATACACAGGAGCCGGCTCGTAAGTTCCAAAAGGCTTTTTGAAGTTTAATTACTCATGTGTTCTTTTGACAATCTCGTGTTCTCTCACGTTGAAAACATATAACAAAAAATTCCATCAATCATGGAATTCATCGCAAAGCTCATCACAAAGACTTAAGAAGTCAGTTAATTTGTTAATTACCCGATGAGTGAGCCCAGAGAGATTTAATGCAACAACATGACTGTATTTGAACAGGTCACCGCGAACAGTTAACTTGAACAGTGGCGGGTGTAAGTTCTCGTGTGGAGACGGCAACACTGTACCGTGTTCCGCCAGGTGTGACGGTCGGCAACACTGTTCCAACGGTGCTGATGAGCTCCAGTGTGGCAACACCGGTGAGTGTTGCTCTGTTCTGTTGCGTCTGTGTCTCAGTGGGCGTGGCTGTGCGTCTGTGTCTCAGTGGGCGTGGCTGTGTGTCTGTGTCTTAGTGGGCGTGGCTGTGTGTCTGTGTCTCAGTGGGCGTGGCTGTGTGGCTGTGTCTTAGTGGGCGTGGCTGTGTGTCTGTGTCTTAGTGGGCGTGGCTGTGTGTCTGTGTCTTGTGGGCGTCTGTGTGTCTAGTAGTGGGCGTGGCTGTGTGTCTGTGTCTCAGTGGGCGTGGCTGTGTGTCTGTGTCTTAGTGGGCGTGGCTGTGTGTCTGTGTCTTAGTGGGCGTGGCTGTGTGTCTGTGTCTTAGTGGGCGTGGCTGTGTGTCTGTGTCTCAGTGGGCGTGGCTGTGTGTCTGTGTCTCAGTGGGCGTGGCTGTGTGTCTGTGTCTCAGTGGGCGTGGCTGTGTGTCTGTGTCTCAGTGGGCGTGGCTGTGAGTCTGTGTCTCAGTGGGCGTGGCTGTGAGTCTGTGTCTCAGTGGGCGTGGCTGTGTGTCTGTGTCTTAGTGGGCGTGGCTGTGTGTCTGTGTCTTAGTGGGCGTGGCTGTGTGTGTATATGTACCTGATTCTAGCGTGTGTTTGTGTGTATACACATGTATGAAGGCTGGCGGTGCCAGTATGTACTGACAGACATAGTGGCATGCGCTATACCCTCTTGTTTACTGTTTTTTACCTAAATGTATCTATTGTGAGCTCCAGCTCTTGTCCCCGCCCGCCCACTCTTAAATTTGAGAGATTAAAGTACCTTCAGCTACACCAATACCATATCCTGAGTATTAGTAGTATCCATAATCTAAAGTATCTAACAGTGGTAAGGCTATATATAACTCTTAGATACCTATATCTACCTAAGAGTTATAGACCTATAACTCCTTGGTATCTAATAGTTATAGGCTTCAATACAAAAACACAAACAGATAGAGTGCAGCGTTGTTGTGTTCATCAATGTTCAGCGAATCTGACATAAACATCAATTATTTTCAGGTGGCGAGAACAGCAAGCAACCCGCCCGGACGGCCGCCCTCCGGCGCCAGAGAGGTGAGGTCTTGGTACCACTGTGGACGGTACCTCTTGGTAACACTGGGGACGGTACCTCTTGGTACCACTGTGGACGGTACCTCTTGGTAACACTGGGGACGGTACCTCTTGGTACCACTGAGGACGGTACCTCTTGGTACCACTGAGGACGGTACCTCTTGGTACCACTGTGGACGGTACCTCTTGGTAACACTGGGGACGGTACCTCTTGGTAACACTGGGGACGGTACCTCTTGGTAACACTGTGGACGGTACCTCTTGGTAACACTGAGGACGGTACCTCTTGGTAACACTGGGAACGGTACCTCTTGGTAACACTGAGGACGGTACCTCTTGGTAACACTGGGGACGGTACCTCTTGGTAACACTGAGGACGGTACCTCTTGGTAACACTAAGGACGGTACCTCTTATACAGTTATTATGGTACACTCCTACGTGTCACCAGGGGTGGAACAGGACTACAGTTTTATCTCTCTCTCTTTATCTATATCTATATCTTTCTAATCTATCTTCCCCTTCCACCTTCCTCTCCTGCTTTCCCATTCAAGAATATGAATCCATGAATATGGAATCAAGTATATTGATCTCTCAGATGCTCTACTTTTCTTTTTCATTTAAGCTTCTCTGCGTCTTCCTTTTTTTGTGTCAGAATGTCTGGCCTCTAATTTTAGACAGACAATCTCTCTTATAGTATAGATATAACATTCAATATATAGGTGTTCCTCCAATAACATTTCTGCCGTAGGACAGGCACTTGTGAGTTCTAAAAAATAAATTCTTAATATATTTTTCAGCGTCTTACGGCAAAAACAACAGAACCAGGAATAATTCAAGCGGAGAGAGAACACATTCGAAGCTGCAAGACGGAGGTTCCAACTGGGAAGAATTTTCAGCCGGTGGAGACTTCTCCAGCACCGAAGACTTCTCCAGCACCGAAGACCTTTCTGGCGCAGAAGACTTTACCAACCAAGAAGACTCCTCCGGTTTCACAGACTCAGACACGCGAGGCTCAGGCGAGAATTCACAAGAGAGTCGAGAGAATGATGTTGATGATGGCGATGATGAGGACGACTTCAACAGATTCGGCGGACCTCCTCGACGTCGCCATAAGCCACCTCGCGGAGGTGGTCCTATAGGTCCCTGGGGTTCAGGGGGTTCCGGAGATCCCTGGGGTCCTGGTGGTCCTGGGGGTTCCGGGGGTCCTGGAGGTCCCTGGGGTCCTGGAGGTCCCGGGGGTTCCGGGGGTCCTGGAGGTCCCTGGGGCCCTGGAGGTCCTGGAGGTCCCGGGGGTCCTGGGGGTCCCAGAGGTCCTAGGTAAGTCAATATACTAAGAATCTGGCACTGACATGTAAATATTTTGACAAACAATGATGTCAGGGCCCATTTAAAAAACAGGGCCGACCCGCTAAGAATCCCCGAATATTATATGCGCCCAATACTTGTTAGTTGAGTCCAGTAATCGTAGGTTGAGCCCGGTACTCGTAGGTTGAGCCCGGTACTCGTAGGTTTAGCTCGGTACTCGTTGGTTGAGTCCGGTACTCGTAGGTAGAGCCCGGTACTCGTAAGTTGAGTCCGGTACTCGTAAGTTGAGTCAGGTACTCGTAGGTTGAGCCTGGTACTCGTAGGTTGAGCCTGGTACTCGTAGGTTGAGCCCGGTACTCGTAGGGTTCATCTTACGACACACTCGGTCACCATCTTCCCTATACGTGGTTCTCACTGTCACAGTCTCTGTACTACATTGAAAGCAAAAATGCATTTAATATATTTTTCGTACAACTCATTGGAATAATGGTGGTAAGTTGTACACTGTAGGTGTACAGTGGTGTAGACGGTAGAATTGTTACACCCCGGTTGTGCTTCGGAGAAGCTTCGGGACCCTCGTGAGGGCAGTGCCACTCCAGGCTGTAATTCGTTTACCATACCGTGGTACAGTTGACTAAGGAGGTTTTAGTTAGTTTTTTAAACTTTGTTCAATATTAATTTAACCAATATTTTTTGACTAATTGTAAATGAAAAGGGCTGCAATTGTTCCAAGTTTTAGTACTGCAGCCTAAATAGAAAGAGAGATTTTTTTCAACAAATATTACACATTTTCAAGTGAGTTGAAACGTTTCACCTTTTCAGATATAATCATTCTATGACACTTTTCTGACACATTAGCATATAATAAAGGATCTGTAGAAGGGGATTTTCGAAAACATCTTTAGTTTTCCTAATACAAATAGTCAAAGTTCCCCAAAAAATTATGCAAATATATCATGTTTATTGCTATTTATAAAATCAATAAATGAACTTAGGAAAAAAGCGCTTCCATCAGATTTTAGAGACATACACTTTACATATAAGGTGTAAGTTTCATGTAAATTGAATAAAAATGAAAGAGTACCAACTCGGTTATGTTACTTGAAAAATAAATCTTTTAAAATATTAAAGTCTAAGGTGCTGCCATCTGTGGCCGAGGTTGACATCAACCAATTTCCTCTAAAATTGGCACCCTTACAGACAAGCTTACGTGCAGTCAGATGTATAAGTTTCATGCAAATCGCCCGATAAATAAATAAGAAAAAAATAAGAAAACTATTTATAATTTGTTTTGAATATATACTATTGTGATAGCTGAGAGTCACAATAGTGCTGTGCTGAGAGTCACAACACATGAAATCATGAATAGACATGATTTCAGTTGACTTGTTTGATAATCGTTTTTGACCATTTTGTATTATTTTTTGCACAGCATTCAATATTTTTTTCTCCCTTCCTAATTATGCTACGATGCTGAGACTTGCACCAGATGAAACCCTTTTCATATACAACTTGTCAAAAAAGTTTGATTGAAATCGAACTAGTTTTCATTTATTGCATATTTTTTACATATTTGGAACTAAGGGGGCTTAAGGCGCATCTGGGAATATGCCGTGCGTAGGTTCGAACACTCATCACGGCCCTTGTGGATTTGTTCCATCTGGTAGTTTACCTCCTCATGAATGAAATACTTTTTTTTTATTTCTTTAAACTTTTTTTATATTGTATTTCTTTTCTCACATAGCACACAGCCTCTCACAGTATGACTGTGAAATAGTGAAATGACGGTAAAGAAGACACATTTCAAAACTATTACTGCAAACTACTATGCAAAAATAAACGTAAAAAATATATATTCAGATTCAATAAAAATAACTACTTAATTTTAAAGTTTTAAGAACAATTCAAATTGAAGTTGAATGCAAGAAGTATTTAGTTAGAACAAAAATGAAGAACATTCATATTTAAACAGAACGTCCTCCAATGGATCGTGTTGTATTACACAGGATGTTTGGCGGCGACCCTCAGGCCCGGGCGTTGATGACGATGTGGAAGAAGGTGGAGCTGAGGCTGGCCAGCGGGGCGGGACCCGAGGACATGGTGGAGCTGGCCTTCCTCCCGCTCTCCACCCGCCTCAACATCAAGGACCTCTACAACATGTTCCGTAAAGACGACTTCTCCAAGTACCACAAGTTTATGAAAGCTCTTGTGAAATCTGGAGCCATTATGTTATTAATGTAAGTAGTGCATCAACACTCTCGTTACTAGAACAAGTAGTGTAGTCTTCCCGTTTTTCTCTAATTCTGTTATTATTATAATAACTCTACAAGTGATCGTTGACAAGTCTGCGTTACTGTTCTTGTTGGATGTATTCGTTACTTGTTCCGTTATAACTTATGTTACCGTAACATAAGTTATAAATTTACAGTTCGATTGGGACTTTCCCACATAACTCATGCCATATAACACCTAAATCCTGGTAATAACGTGGCCATATTTCTCGACAGGGAGTACGAGATGAACAATGAACTGTACGATATTCAGAGCATGATGAGCATGTCGGACAAGAGCGTTCAAGATCTGCTCGACTTCTTGAACACGAATGTGTCGGCGGCGGCGAGGGAGCGAGTGGGCGGGAGGCCGGCCTTGGAGGCCCTGCTCAACCTCACCCTCAAGTACTCGGCTCTCCTCCTCGAGCACAGGGTCACCGTCTTCGATTTTATGCGTTCTGTAAGTATTGGCCTTCTATGTGAGCGTGTCAAGGTAAGATGGCGCTACTTGTAGCTACAATTCAGTACGTCTTAGGTACAATTCAGTACGTCTTAGCTACAATTCAGTACACCTTAGCTGCATCGTAGACATTCAGTAGAATGGGCTGGATTTGTTGTGCTTCATTCTTTTTCGTGGTTGATGTTTGAATATTTAAATATTATTGGACCTGGTGGCGACGCTGCCACATCCTGGACTTGGTGGCGACGCTACCACATCCTGGACTTGGTGGCGACTCTGCCACATCCCGGACCTGGTGGCGACGCTGCCACATCCTGGACTTGGTGGCGACGTGCCACATCCTGGACTTGGTGGCGACTCTGCCACATCCCGGACTTGGTGACGACGCTGCCACATCCTGGCCTTGGTGGCGACGCTGCCATATCCTGGACCTAGACTATTTATTTAGACATTTAAACACTTGATTAAAGTTCATGTGAACTATTTACTGGAAAGTTTCTAAAGCCTACAGAATCTAGAAAGCTTCAGCGAGGTTGTTTATACATTACTCACCCCTATTTAAGTGACTGGAGTTTCTCGATTTGTTAAGCATAATAATTTAGTAGGCTGTGTCGCTCTGAAGCCTAAACAGAAAACTATTTATATTATCCTAAATTTATACTGTAACTTGATTCACCGTTATATGCATATAATATTGCAAGGTCTAGAATGCCAGGCCTATTTAGAAAAAAATGTAACAAAATACACAGTTTATGTTTCAAATAGAAATAATACGTAACACTTCCTCGATTTTTATTTCAGATTAGAGTCATTTTAGGGCAGAGCTTTGACATAAGTAACAGTAGGCCCTCGACCATCTAACAACGAGAGATTACTTACAAAAGTTATTGTATAACTATGATTCGTTACGATTATCTACTGTCTAGCTATTGTGAAATATCTTCGGTCATCACTATCTGACACCATTAATGTTTATGAAAATTACATCTGATTTTGAACCTCCTCACCTCAAAAATATACGCCTAACTTAAATAGCTAGGGTTCATTACTGAAGTATACATATACTGAAGTATACATACTGAAGTATACATATACTGAAGTATACATATACTGAAGTATACATATACCGAAGTATACATATACTGAAGTATACATATACCGAAGTATATATATCACACTGAAGTATACATATACTGCAGTATACATATACTGAAGTTATAGAGTTATGAGAGTAATAAAATACAAACTAATATGAGAGTAACTCACAACAACGTGTCAGAAAACAAATAAGTCATCCCAGGCGCATGAGAGCAGGTGATGACGATCTGGTCCTCCTGGGCCCTTATCAGGTAGTTTCTGGTCCTCCTGGATCCTTATCAGGTCGTTTCTAGTCCTCATGGATCCTTATCAGGTCGTTTCTAGTCCTCATGGATCCTTATCAGGTAGTTTCTGGTCATCCTGGACCTTGTCAGGTAGTTTCTGACCGTCCTTGACCTTATCAGATAGTTTCTGGTCATCCTGGACCTTATCAGGTCGTTTCTGACCGTCCTTGACCTTATCAGATAGTTTCTGATCATCCTGGACCTTATCAGGTAGTTTCTGGCCGTCCTGGATCTTATCAAGTAGTTCCTGGTCCTCCTGGACCTTATCAACTCATGACTGGTGTCCTTATATCCTCCAGGTGGTGGACAAGGTGGACCCGCCGACGCTCTGCTCCTTGACGAAGAAGTTTGGCCCCAGCCCCAGCAAGGAGATGCTCTGCCTCAGGTACCGTGTTTCTCTCTCATAGTCCCAGGTGACGTGGTGGTAGCACCCGCCCCGTGCCTCGCCAACAATCTGATCTGGGGTTCGAGACCTCGCCAGGGAGGATTGACTGGGCGCTATTCCGTAACTGATAGCTACTGTTCACCCAGCAGTAATTTGGTGTCTGTCTGTAAACCGATTGGAGGGTCGACTTCCAGGGAACGGTAGTAGGGTAGGTCTTACCCATGAGCTATGGGAAGGGAATGTTAGTAGGGTAGGTCTTACCCATGAGCTATGGGAAGGGAACGGTAGTATAGGGTAGGTCTTACCCATGAGCTATGGGAAGGGAGTGTTAGTAGGGTAGGTCTTACCCATGAGCTATGGGAAGGGAATGTTAGTAGGGTAGGTCTTACCCATGAGCTATGGGGAATGGTAGTAGGGTAGGTCTTACCCATGAGCTATGGGAAGGGAACGGTAGTATAGGGTAGGTCTTACCCATGAGCTATGGGAAGGGAGTGTTAGTAGGGTAGGTCTTACCCATGAGTTATGGGAAGGGAATGTTAGTAGGGTAGGTCTTACCCATGAGCTATGGGAAGGGAACGGTAGTATAGGGTAGGTCTTACCCATGAGCTATGGGAAGGGAGTGTTAGTAGAGTAGGTCTTACCCATGAGCTATGGGAAGGGAATGTTAGTAGGGTAGGTCTTACCCATGAGCTATGGGAAGGGAACGGTAGTATAGGGTAGGAATGTTGCACCCAACAAATAGTCCACATTTTATATTTGACACACATGTCTCTAGCAGGTGTTATGACAGTCTCCACCATGACACACGTGACTAGCAGGTGTTGTGACAGTCTCCACCATGACACACGTGACTAGCAGGTGTTGTGACAGTCTCCACCATGACACACGTGACTAGCAGGTGTTGTGACAGTCTCCACCTTGACACACGTGACTAGCAGGTGTTATGACAGTCTCCACCTTGACACACGTGTCTAGCAGGTGTTGTGACAGTCTCCACCATGACACACGTGACTAGCAGGTGTTGTGACAGTCTCCACCTTAACACAGGGCAGCTCAGCAGGACGTGGACATGATGTCAGCGAACATAATGGCTCCACCAGAGAAGAAAAACGCCAACTTCTTCCAGGACCCCTTCAAGGACTTCATGACGTCTCTCAAGCTCAGTAAACAACGACCAGCTTACTGGATTATTGGTTAGTGGTGTTGCTCCTGATGTTACTCCCCCCCTTGTTGATGTTACTATCTCTGTTACTCTCCTCCTCTGCTGATGTTACTCCCCCTTGTTGATGATCTCTGTTACTCTCCTCCTCTTACTCCCCCCCTTGTTGATGTTACTATCTCTGTTACTCTCCTCCTCTGCTGATGTTACTCCCCCTTGTTGATGTTACTTCCCCTGCTGATGTTACTGCTGTTGATACCCAGACGATAAGTCACAATAACAGGGATGAAAATATAATGACCAAACCACACACCAGAAGATGAGGAGACGACGACGTTTCGGTCCGTCCTGGACCGATATTATGATAATGGTCCAGGACGGACCGAAACGTCGTCGTTTCTTCTTGTTCATCACTCCTGCCATTTCTTACTGCCGATATTATCCCAGGTCATATTACTCCCGCTGCTGATATAGTGCCCCGACCCGTGTTGTGATCACAGTGCCCTCAGTGCCCAGCCCGCCCTCTGTGTCCAGCCCGCCCTCAGTGCCCAGCCCGCCCTCAGTGTCCAGCCCGCCCTCAGTGCCCCAGCCCGCCCTCAGTGCCCCAGCCCGCCCTCAGTGTTCAGCCCGCCCTCAGTGCCCCAGCCCGCCCTCAGTGTTCAGCCCGCCCTCAGTGCCCCAGCCCGCCCTCAGTGCTCCAGCCCGCCCTCAGTGCCCCAGCCTGCCCTCAGTGCCCCAGCCCGCCCTCAGTGCCCCAGCCTGCCCTCAGTGCCCCAGCCCGCCCTCAGTGCCCCAGCCTGCCCTCAGTGCCCAGCCCGCCCTCAGTGCCCCAGCCTGCCCTCAGTGCCCCAGCCCGCCCTCAGTGCCCCAGCCTGCCCTCAGTGCCCCAGCCCGCCCTCAGTGCCCCAGCCTGCCCTCAGTGCCCCAGCCCGCCCTCAGTGCCCCAGCCCGCCCTCAGTGCCCAGCCCGCCCTCAGTGTCCAGCCCGCCCTCAGTGCCCAGCCCGCCCTCAGTGCCCCAGCCCGCCCTCAGTGCCCCAGCCAGCCCTCAGTGCTCCAGCCCGCCCTCAGTGTCCCAGCCCGCCCACAGTGCCCCAGCCCGCCCACAGTGCTCCAGCCCCCCCACAGTGCCCCAGCCAGCCCTCAGTGCTCCAGCCCGCCCTCTGAGTGCTCCAGCCCGCCCTCTGAGTGCTCCAGCCCGCCCTCTGAGTGCTCCAGCCCGCCCTCTGAGTGCCCCAGCCCGCCCTCAGTGCTCCAGCCCGCCCTCAGTGTCCAGCCCGCCCTCATCACCGTTGATACCACGCAGACCCAACACACTCTGAGTGTGACTGAAAGCCACTTTACACACACGACTCACGACTGATGTTCGAACATCAGTCGAAGCGTTTCAGTGACAGTGTTCCAATCGTCCCTTCACTTCACAAATACACATAATTGCCAATAGAGCCGTGGCGGTGAACCTTACCTAATATAGGGCTAATTATACACCAATAATACTTTTTTAAATATGAGTAAACAGTCTAAAGTGTTTTTTATTCATGAAGGTGTTTGGGAGCTGGATTAATGGGTATTTGTCCATTGTTTATGGAGAGGCTGCTTGCCTGGTGCTTGTGAGGCGGGTGCTGATGGCATGTACTTGTGTTAGTACTGATTATGTCAACTGTAACCATCTCAGGTGCTCGTATGAGCCTTCATCGTCTCTTGTATATGTTCGCAGAGAATGAAGGAGTGTACTACGGGGAGCAGAACTCCGTGACGGGCTTCTTCGTGTGGGACAAGGTGGCTGTTTGTTCCTGCCCCGACGCCAGTACTGGAGGGCCAGGCCAAGACGGTAGTGGAGCAGGAGGGAGTGGCCAAGGATGGGGAGGAGGAGGAGGAGGAAATGGTCAAGGATGGGGAGAAGGAGGAGGAGGAAATGGTCAAGGATGGGGAGGAGAGAGGAGGAAATGGTCAAGGATGGGGAGGAGGAGGAGAAGGAAATGGTCAAGGATGGGGAGGAGGAGGAGGAGGAAATGGTCAAGGATGGGGAGGAGGAGATGGTCAAGGATGGGGAGGAGGAGGAGGAGGAAATGGTCAAGGATGGGGAGGAGGAGGAGGAGGAAATGGTCAAGGATGGGGAGGAGGAAATGGTCAAGGATGGGGAGGAGGAAATGGTCAAGGATGGGGAGGAGGAGGAGGAGGATCCTGGAGCGCATCAGGAGATGGGGGATCGGGTAGTGGATGGGACGATGCATCAGGAGGTATGGGAAGGAGCGGATTCAGTGGTGGATGGGGAGGTGCATCAGGTGATGGGGGATCGGGTGGGTCGGGTAGTGGATGGGACGGTGCCTCAGGAGGTACGTCATGGAGTGGGTCTGGAGGTGGTGGGAATATAGCTGCATCAGGTAATGTGGAGACTAGTGGAGTCAGAAGTGGAGGAGCAGGAGATGGACAGAACGCCTCATGGCAAGACCTTCCGCAACAAGTTAAAGATCTCATCAACCAATATGCCGGAGGAAATGGAAAAGATGTAGACATCAACAAAATCATGGAAATGTTCAACTCTCAATCACCTCAAGACGACCCGAACACAGCAATGCTCCACGGAGACACAGATGGCACAGTCACTATGTTAGGTAAGATATCTCTAGTAGTAATACTTAATCTTTGTTGTTTGCGATTATATATATATACTAGCTGTACCCAGCCACAGCAACCTTCCCTTGTTTCTCAGTCCTCCCCACCATTCCCCCCTCCCCCGTCCCCTCATCCTACCAACCATTCCCCACTTCCCCGTCCCCTCGACCGCCCCACCATTCCCCCCCTCCCCTGTCCACTTTGTCCTCCCCACAATGACCCACTCCACCGTCCCCTCGTCCTCCTAACCATTCCCCACTCCCTCCCCTGTCCCTTTGTCCTCCCCACAATCCCCCACTCCACTGTCCCCTCGTTCTTCCTACCATTCTCCCCCTCCCCCGTCCCCTCGTCCTCCCGCTAATACCCCACTCTCCTGATCCCCCTTTGCTGCCCCACTATTCTCCATTTCCCTGTCCCCTCGTCCCTACCATCCCCAACTCACCCGTCCCCTCGTCCTTCCCACCGTTCCCCACTCCCTCATCCCATGCATTCTTAAATGATCTGATGTTCCCATCAGAAAATTGGGAACATCGAATTATCTGATGTTCCCATCAGTGAAATAAAAAAACAGTTAAAAAAATACATAAAAAACAATGAAAAATAAAAAAAATAAACTATACTCACGAAATGAACGGTATGGTAAACAACACAGCTCAATTCCAACGCAATGTCACACAAAATAATTATATAAAATTAAAATAAGTCGAAATCTATGAAAATTCAATTTGTCAATGCAATCGTAAACAGTGAAATGAACCCGTAACATATTTTGTATAGCGTGTGTTGCTCTTATGTGCAACAGATGGCGCTGTTTCTTAAAAAAAAGAATGTTTTTACCCGGCACAAGTGTAGCATCTATACTTATACTTACAAAATGAATGGTATGATGAACAACACAGCTCAATACCAACACACTATCACACAAAATAATTAAATCAAAACGAAAATAAATCGAAATATATGAAAATTCAATTTATAAATGCAATCGGAATTGGAATCGTAACATATTTAGTAAAGCATAAATTGCTATTAAGTGCAACAGATGGCGCTGTTAAAAAAAAAACAGCGTTGAATGTAATGAAACTCCATTTTGTGGGTGAGCCCCGGAGGCTCCCTGGAGCTTATCGGGCTAATGTATGTTATATTAGACCGGGACATTAGCTAAGGAGTTCAGACCTACCAGAGACCAGCGCCAGAACCTGGCCTCTTCAGAGAGGTTTCAGGGAGCAATGACCCTGGAAAACCCCCTTTTGGTTGGGGTTTTCCTTATCTGCCATCGACCGGGGTTAGGCATCCAGAAAGGTAGGAATAACAAAACAAACCCCACATGGTAAAAAACTAAAACAGAAAACCGAACAGAGAGGTAGAAACTCCCTACAATCCCTAGGAAACAAGCAAACAATCAAACATCACACTTTACTGCCGCGTCGATCGTCCGCGCAGCCCTCCCCGCCCCGTGAGGGGAAAGGGGAGGCCCCGGACCTCACCATCCCGACTGCCTAGCATCAGTTCGGAAGCTAAGCTTCAACCAACGCGAAAAATCCGCTGACCGGTGGGAGGGAGGGTTGCCAGGGAGCCTCTGGGACTCACCCAGAAAATGGCGTTTCATTACATTCAATGCTGGTTTTCTGTGGGGAGCCCCTACGGCTCCCTGGAGCTTCATACCCAAAGAGAAGGAAAAGAAAGGGCTGACCCGGGAGGCGGCTGCCACAAACTCCGCAACGTGAAGCCGAGACAACAGGCTGCAACCTGTGACCCAAGACAACAAGAACGCACTGGAGCAGACATGGTCACAAATAACGGGCGGCCAGGAACCTCTGCGACCCTCAAATCCTTGTGTCCGAAATCAGCCCTAGACGTCACTAACACGGCAGCGAAAGCTCCAAACGTCCGAACGGCACGGGCGCAAGGATAGACCGCAGATTGGTAGACTTAAAAACTCTGCGGACGACCTGGGAGACCCGAGCCCTGAAACAGGGAATGAGGGGAACCGGATCAACCCAAAGTGTATCTCCAGACACAGTACGCAGGTAACGGCAAAGAGGCGCAACTGGACAACAAAGGACGCACCCCCGGCCGAACCAGTCAAGCATCAATAACCCAAGGACTCCTTCGGAAAGCAGCCGTCTCGACCGTTGCCAGAAGGACGGAGAATGGCTGTAAACCTACAAACCTACCACCAGTACCAAAAGAGCAGAAACCCCTGCACCGGAAGATAGCCGGAAGCTCCCTGAACCCGACCTGCAGAGGCCCATGCCAACAAATTATGGCCTATGAAAACCAAACTTGAACTGAAGGGGCTACCACAAACTGAGAAGAAGAAGGGCACCCTGATCAAGAGCCAGGACGGCTTAGGCGACGCATGAGTAGGCCGGAGGTGAAACAAAACACGAAAAAGCATATGGAAAGGGGCAGATGTGAAGTCCACCCCGAACACAAGCCGGAGCGGCTCCGCCAGCGCCGCACGAAACCAGACGACAGTAAGAAACATCAAATAACTGTAGTCCTGAAAACCCAAGAAAGGACAAGACAAACTGATGCGAAAGAGAAGATAATCTACGAAGAGCAAGAACAAGGTGAACAGAAACACCAGGAATGTCATACTATCGCTGAGACGAAGCTCGCAGGTGGGACACCATCAACAAAGCCACCTGATCACCATAGAGATGGTGATACACCCTCATCAAAATACCAGATGCAAAGACCCGAGGAGAAGGCCGAACCAGTTACGTGCAGGACCGGTCCGACCTGCCGAAAGAGACGGAGCCGCGGGAAAATGCCCCAGGTTCGGACACCTATCAAGCTGCGTCTGAAAATAAAGCTGGGCCAGCCACCAAGGGACCATGAGGACTACTCTCCTTGGGAATGGACTCCAACCGAACCAGAACCCGAAGCAACAACTGGACTGGAAGAAGAGGAACAGGTACCCCCACCTCAACCAGTCCTGCCGAAAGGCATCCACCATGAACGCCTCACAGGCGGGTAAGGGCACCACATAGAATGGGCGACGCCAACACGAAGATGTCCATGGCCCAGGAGTTCATACGTCTGGCAGAGCCAACGAAACGAGTCGGCGACGACCGACCAATCCGCGAACAGAGGAATGAACCGAGACAGGCTGTCCGCCAGGACGCAGAACACACCTCGGACATGAACCTCACGGCTAGCCAAACCCCGAGAATTCAGCAAACGAGCCACTCGAAGGGACATACCCAAAGGTGAAACATCTAAGAGAAACCTCGTGGTTCCGGCAAAGAACCTCCAGCGAACAGTCCAAATAGAGCTCGATGGTAGAGCACCGAGTGACCCGAACCCAACGAAGCGCGAACCAGACAGCCACGAACTCCCGAACCGTGCTGTGAGCCCGACGGATGGACAGGCCCCATCATCCCTGGCCGACCTGGTGAACACTAATCACAAAGCCCAAGCCAAGAGATGACCCGTCCGTGAACACATCGAGCGAAGGCTCGGGAAGGTGCCAAGACACGGAACCCCAAAAACCCAAAAGAGGAAGCTGGTGACGCAGCACCAACACAAGGTCCCCGGAGGACGAACCCAACGATTGCAAGAGAGGCGGAAGGGAAGTTTCCAAAGGAACCAAACAGACTCCGAAGCCAAACCTGATCCTGCGGGCAGACCAGCACGTTGAAGTTCAGACTCTGGCACAATGTTCTCCAAGCTGGCAGAGTGTAATATGGTGCTAGTTGGCTGTTGACAGATGCCTCGTCATTGTCCAGTCCTATGTTGTCGCTGTATCTGTCGATTATGTTGGTGTTGTTTGATAATATATCTCTGGTGATGATCCAAACCTTTAAAAAATTTACATTAAAGATTTCGCGTTCGATGATAATTGTTGTTTTTGTTGTTAAAGATTCACTACCTGGAACAAAGTTCCAAGTAGCACGGGCTACGGTGAGCCCGTGGGGTGATAATTACATAAGTTTTAAATATAAAGAATTTATTTTTCAGTTTTATTAAACAATAGAAATTTTAAAATACCCTGAGTTACTTTATAATTTATTGAAAGACTTTAGTTTTGTTTTATTAGTTTTATTAAATTGTAATATCAATATAGTTATAGGTTAAGTACTAATTGTAATTACAAAGCAACAATGCTATTTACATGCTTGTCTTCATACTCTCCCAAGGTTAGGTTTGGTCGTGGTTTTCTATACAGCTCTTCAGGTAAACTCTAATATTTACAATATTTTGTTGCGATGCTGGCGATTAAGTGTATTTATGTACTATACTGATAGTCAGGATTGTACTTATTACATTTAGTATTAAAACGTACTGTCTCTTCGGAGGATGGGCTGGATGATCAGATAATCACCAGAGATATTTTCATCCACAACAGTTTATCCCTGTATGATGCTCACGACTAAGCGAGTTCTTTCGATTTGCAACTGTTTTACCTCACCAGACACGTTCGAATCCACGTAGCTTATCAAGGTCAATGCTTGATAGGCTACGGAGGAGGAGCTAGAGGTTACTGCCCCTGCTGATATTACTCCTTCTGCTGATATTACTTTCCCTGCTGATATTACTTTCCCTTGCTTATGTTACATTCCCTGCTGAAGCTACTTTTCATATAATATATTGCTTAAAGTAACGTATTGCGTAAAGTGTGGCACTGGAGCCGGCTCCGAGTGGCCGATGACACTCCCATACCACACATGCTTCATGTGTGAAACTTGAATAAGGATAACCCCCAAGTGTCTGACCTTCAATCTTCGACAAAGAAACACATATACATTCTTACAGACAAAGCTAGACGAATAAGAAAACATCTTCACCATGTTTATCTTGTTTGTTATATATTCTTTCAGATCTTTCGGACATATACCTGAGGAACTATCGTCAGGAGGAGGTGGACGGGAGGCTGGTGATCAGCGGACAGGTGGTGGTGTACGACAAGATGCGGGAACAGAACAGCTCCGTGTGTAAGGACTCGGACTGGGACGAGGACGACGCCCGGGTAGTGTGCACCGTCCTCTATGACGACCATCCTCGCGCACGGTCAGTACCTCCTCTCTCCATCTTCCTCTACAGCTTGCCATTGTCATAATCCATTTTTTTTTTTAGATATGGAGAGTGTCGGAAAGTTCAGTATTGTCGTATCTGCTATTTTAAACTGCATCTGCTGGATGCTATCAGAATCGCGGTAAGGCTTAAGTCCCGTGGAAACTCAGCCTTGAGGATAATTAGGAAAACTGGGTTATAATGATTATATCCGTGGATAAGACTGGATACATGTGGCTGCTAGATACGGTTGGATGGATGAAAGTGGATACAGAAGTGAACAGCGTTGGCTTGGAGTCGGTGGCTGGTGAGGTGACTGAAGGAACGCCCCACGAAGCTTGGTGTCCGGCCACAGAGTGACTGTAAAATGGCTACATAGTTCTGGATGCTTTCTCCGGGCTCTCTCCGTAAGATTAAAGGAGGCAGCTTGTTTAATTACCAGGTTGTAGGGGAGATGGGCCTTAGAAGTTTCTGTCCGAAATGTGGTGATCGCCAGAATTGTGTGTTTGGAAGTCAATCTTGCTTCTGGAGGAGTAGCACTCCACCAGAGTCTTCCTGGAGGATTGGTTCTATCACGTTGTTAGAGGACGAATCTACGCTTAGAGGTTATTTTGAATGACAATATGTTCAGGAGTCCTAGACCAGGGACGCTACAGAGACAGTTCTGCATGCCAACCAGCTTAGGGTTCTCTGATTGTCTTAAACAAACGGGTTATGACCCGATTGATCAAGGAGGTCTGGCGAGGAGTCCTAGCCCTCATTGGTTAAATCCTTGTCAACAAGACCCTGGCAAGATCGTTGGTAGAGAGGGGGTGGAAGGGAGGGGAGGAGAGGAGGGGTGGAGGGGAGGGGTGGAGGGATGGAGGGGAGGGTGGAGGGGAGGGGTGGAGGGATGGAGGGGAGGGGTGGAGGAGAGAGGTCAACAGGGCCCAAAAGTCTCTGCTGACTCTCGTCCAACCCGCCATCTTCCTCCTTCCTGTTTGTAGTCACTGATGGTCCGCTTGTTGGCCAGGTGGTCAGAGGTTCACCTCCCTGAAGGTCCAGGTGCATGAAGTGTTACTCCCACGTAACAGAGGTTTACATTATATAAGTTTACTCTGCCTTTGCTCTTGGTGCTGGATAAATGAAGAACAATTCAACACATAAATGACTCAGAAATACATTTGCATATGAGTAGAATCAGCCTATTTATCACTATCTCCTGCGGAGCCCTCGTCACCTACATGTATACACTACAATGATAGACTGTAGGTTCAGCACCAGTAGATATAGTACTTAACATTAGAAATATCAGCAAAAAGGTACATGTATAGTATAGCCACCTTAGGCCCTGGACGTTTCGGGCCTAATGCAAAATAAATCAGAACAAAATTAAATGTTTAATGTGGTAAACAATTGATAATTAAGAGGAAATAAGCTAATATATATGAGTAACTGTCAATGGCATATATTGTCATTGCCATTGAAGAAATTATTAAGTAAATATAAAATAGTTAAACGACAATGATGAAAGGCATAGGACTACATTTGTAACATATAAAACCCCCCAAAACAGCAAAACACACATAGCTTTTTTTTAGGAGGGGGTTCAGTTTAGATCATTTATTATGCACCCCATACCCATCTTGTGGGCGGTAGTGGAAAGGGATACAGAGGCACATAATGGGCTCAGGGACTGAACCCCACAATTCATTTACCTAAGCAAGTTACAATCTTGATGAGCTAGTTACAAAATTCAGTAAAAGTCGTCACATCATCAATGGGTTCAGGATCGACCATAAGTACAGTTTCTAAATTAAGCAACTGACATATGTGGAGAGCTAGTGTCAAAATATATATGTTTGTCCTGCACACCGCCCCCCATCCAGTGGGCAGCGGTGGATAGGTTACAATCACTTAGTTACTACCTACAGTTAGCAAACTGGGGATATTTGGCTAAGATTTCTAAGCAGATCATTTTGAATGAAATATTTACATAACTTTGGAACATTGGTTATAGAATTGTCTCTGAATTCCCGTATCTTTTCGCACTCCATCACATAGTGACGGAGGGTATGCGAATAATTTTGTTGACACAGTTTACATTTGGTCAGGTCTACATCAGCAGATAATGAGAATTCCCAGAGATACTTGTAACCGAGTCTAAGCCGAGCAGTAGTAACATCTAGAAGTCTGCTGATTTTATTGGGTGATCCATAGATGTGTGGCTCCTCTTGCATGATAGTATGATGATAGATGGAATTACTGGTGTCAATTTCACTCTGCTTCAGAAATCCTCCCCCCCACCTTGCCTTTGGGGTGTGGGTGGGGGGAGGAAGAGGAAATGTGAGTGAAATTTACTACATGATGCTAAGTAGATATTTGTTAGTTTCTCATTTTAAATACTATCTTGAACAGGTTGGAGGCGTCGTACTCTACCAGCGAGTCGTTCAACGACCCTTCCATCCCGGAAGTGAAGCTGGACAAGTTCCAGTGTCACGGGGACGAGGTGGACCTCCTCCAGTGCACTCACCGCTGGGACATCAATCAGTGTAAAGTGAAGGAACTTGCTGGAGTCAAGTGTGTGCTCTCAAAGCTCTCAGTAGAGCAACGCAAGATGCAGCAGCTTAAAAAATAAACAACTTATGCTGACATGAATTAAATAACAACAACAAATACTAAATTATTAATGGTGGTTTATGTATGATTGTATTGTTTGTTATCAAAGAATTGTTTAACCAAACCTGTTTTTAAACATTATTACGTTTACAAGCCCGTTAAAACATGCGTGACAGTTCAACACCTGCTTAAAACACACGCGTGACAGCTCAACACCTGCTTAAAACACACGCGTGACAGTTCAACACCTGCTTAAAACCCACGCGTGACAGTTTAACACCTGCTTAAAACCCACGCGTGACAGTTCAACACCTGCTTAAAACCCACGCGTGACAGTTCAACACCTGCTTAAAATACACGCGTGGCAGTTCAACACCTGCTTAAAACCCACGCGTGACAGTTCAACACCTGCTTAAAATACACGCGTGGCAGTTCAACACCTGCTTAAAACACACGCGTCAAATTTCAGCACCTGCTTAAAACACACGTGTGACAGACCAACACCTGCTTAAAACACCCACGTGACAGTTCAACACCTGCTTTAAAAACATGCGTGGCAGTTCAACACCTGCTTAAAAATACGCGTGGTAGTTCAACACCTGCGTAAAACACACATATTGGTAAAATTTTATATTTAAGATTTACCTCCTGAATAAATAATGTAATAAAATATTATTTATATTATAACTTTCTGTTGTTCTGTCAAGGTAGTAACTTGCGTTCCCTTGTCACCCATGTTGACACATGTCCTCTCCAGGTACACCAACTTGCGTTCCCTTGTCACCCATGTTGACACATGTCCTCTCCAGGTACACCAACTTGCGTTCCCTTGTCACCCATGTTGACACATGTCCATCCAGGTACACCAACTGCTCCCAGGCACACCCATGTTGACACATGTCCTCTCCAGGCACACCTTATGTTGCTATGTGTCCAGGACACTGGACTGTGACACTTTATGTTGCTTATGTCTCCAGGACACTTAATGTGGTAAGACCAGATTATAATAAGATATGATACAAAATTATCGCGATGGTTAAGTGTGGTTTTAATGTCTCGCTTTCTGTTGTGGGTCCTCTGGTAGGTTAGGATAAGGGCACTTTAGTACGACAGTTTTTTGACGTTGGGGAACCTTAGGAGGACGGGCTGCTGGAAGATCCTGCCCCACAGTCTTAATGTCTCGTATCGTCTTAAGTTTCTTATGACTCAAAAGTCTAAAAATTGTGCAGCAGGTTGTTACACACCCAGGTACTGAGAGGATTATAACTACAGTATGACCATTATTGCCATAACAATAGCCTGGGCAAGGTATAGACTTGCCACAACAATGTAGCCAACTTTCTAACAAAGAATTTGAGTGAACGAGAGCAAGGTAAGGTAATTATTAAGGTATGGTAAGCTATGGCAGTTTGACTATATAACACTTGGAAGGGATATAATTACAGAATAGGAGCTGGGATAGGAGAAAGGAAGGAACTGTGTCCATCCACTTGGACTATTGGGGATCGAACGCCGACCTGCAAGAAAACGAAGCCGTCGCTGTACCGTTCGGTCCAAGTGGATGGACAAACTTAGATCAAACTGGAAGTTGAAATAAAATCTTTAAAACGCTCAACAGATTTGTATCGTATCTTGACATTTTGAAACAAATTAAAATAGAATAGTAAATTGTGACGAAATGAATTTAATATTAACGTTTAGGTAAGGAATAAATGCCTTAAGCTCATCATGGTATCAGTGATAAATATATCTTACAATTACAGAGATCTCTATTATATACAATATTTATGTAATTATGTAATGATAATGTAACAGCACATTTTTCATATTGTAAAATCACAATGCATGTTTTATGTAAATGATCTGAATGTAATATAATAATATTTACTTTGAATTTGGTCAGAGATGAAGATTTAACTTTGTTGTTCATGCATATTAACTGTTGATCGTTCCACTGTGATAGTCACCAGCATAGCTTGCAAATGTCAAGGATATATATGGCTGACAATTAGTATAGAAGTCAATATATTAATACAGTATGCACTCTTGTAGGACTATAGATAGCTAAAAATTGAATATATTTCTTAAATATGCAATATATTTATTGTTAAACTCACGTGACAAATTATTTTATATAAGAAAATGTGTAAAGAATCAACTAGGGAAAACTGTAATTTCAGTGATCAGGACTGTGCTCTTTTTAATTGTTTTACATATAAAATTTACTTGCAATAAACTAAAATTGGTATAAAAAACTAATTTTGTTCACCCTTAAAATTTAACGAATATCGTCAACTTTACCTTTGGCAGTTGCCAGTGCTTGATAACTTCCATATTTATAGACCACATGGACTACATCTGTAGCCTCTCCTCATGTTTAGACAGTACTTATAGTAACTATGTAGGACATCGTACATATATTTACGTAATGGACAATTAGAAAGTAAAAAAAATTACAATTGAATTTAGACAAACCGGAAAAGGTTGTGTATTTATCTTGCCTGATAAACATTTACTAACCTAACCATCCTAGGCTACACGCTAACTGAATTGATACCTGCTAAGTTCTTAAAGGGGAACTTAAATATGGGGAAAACTCAGACCAAAAATCACTCATTCGTTCTTAAAAGATTCCTATGAGAGAAATTCAAAAAATATTTCAAAGTTTTATAAAATATATTTCAGGGTTTTTAGTTCCTGTTGTGCCCCACCTGTTTGAACCCGATTTTGTTTCAGAATATAAAACTGAAAATATTTCAAAAGACCATATTCAGGCAAATGTTCATAGAAGTTTTGTTAAGGAAAATAGACATCTTAGCGGTAAGTTTTAGTTTTATATCCATTTACTGCTGTTTCTGCAGTAAAAAGATCGAAATTATTCAGAGACCATTTGAAGACCGAAATTAGTCAAGAGCCCAAATAAGACCTAAATTTATTCAGAGACCAGTTGAATACCGAAATATGTCAGAGCATAGTTGAAGCCCAAAATAATTTCAGAGACCATTTAGGACCTAAAAGTAGTCAGAGACCAGTTGAAGACAAATATTTTCAGAGTTCAGTTTAAGACCAAAACAATTTCAGAGACAGTTGAAGACTGAAAGTCCAGTAAAAGACCGAAATTGTTTAAAGATCATATGACTGAAATTGATCGGAATTGACAGACTATTTTAAGATCAAAATTGACTAGAACTTGACAGATTTTATTTAGAAGTATAATCTGTACTTCTACTGGAGTAATTAATGCCACATATAATCAGTACTGAAACTGGAGTAATCAGGACCACGTATAATCTGTGCTTCTACTGGAGTAATCAGGACCACGTATAATACTGACGGTCTTGGCCTCCACCACCTTCTCACCTAACTTGTTCCAACCGTCTACCACTCTGTTTGCAAAAGTGAATTTTCTTATATTTCTTCGGCATCTGTGTTTAGCTAGTTTATATCTATGACCTCTTGTTCTTAAAGTTACAGGTCTCAGGAAATCTTTCCTATCGATTTTATCAATTCCTGTTACTATTTTGTATGTAGTGATCATATCACCTCTTTTTCTTCTGTCTCCTAGTTTCGGCATATTTAATGCCTCTAACCTCTCCTCGTAGCTCTTGCCCTTCAGTTCTGGGAGCCACTTAGTAGCATGTCTTTGCACCTTTTCCATTTTGTTGATGTGCTTCTTAAGATATGGGCACCGCACAACCGCTGCATATTCTAGCTTTGGCCTAACAAAAGTCGTGAACAATTTCTTTAGTATATCGCCATCCATGTATTTAAAAGCAATTCTGAAGTTAGAAAGCGTGGCATAGGCTCCTCGCACAACGTTCTTTATGTGGTCCTCAGGTGATAGTTTTCTATCTAGAACCACCCCTAGATCTCTTTCTTTATCAGAATTCTTTAAAGATTTCTCACATAATATATAGGTTGTGTGGGGTCTATGTTCTCCTATTCCTCATTCCATAACACGGCATCTATTAACATTAAATTCCATTTGCCAAGTGGTGCTCCATATACTTATTTTGTCCAGGTCATCTTGAAGGGCATGACAATCATCTAAGTTTCTTATCATTCCTATTATCTTAGCATCTTCAGCAAACATGTTCATATAATTCTGTATACCAACTGGTAGGTCATTTATGTAGACAATAAACATCACTGGTGCAAGAACTGAACCCTGTGGTACTCCACTTGTGACATTTCTCCAGTCCGATACATTGCCTCTGATCACTGCCCTCATTTTTCTATCAGTCAGAAAATTTTTCATCCATGTTAGAAGCTTACCTGTCACCCCTCCAATATTTTCCAGTTTCCAGAACAACCTCTTATGTGGAACTCTGTCGAAAGCCTTTTTTAGGTCCAGATAGATGCAGTCAACCCAACCATCTCTTTCCTGTAATATCTCTGTTGTTCGATCATAGAAACTGAGTAAATTCGATACACAGGATCTTCCAGATCGAAAACCATACTGTCTGTCTGATATTATATCATTTCTCTCCAGGTGTTCTACCCATTTAGTTTTAATTATTTTTTCCAATATTTTGACTATTACACTTGTCAATGATACCGGTCTATAATTAAGGGGGTCTTCCCTGCTTCCACTTTTGTAGATTGGAACTATGTTAGCCTTTTTCCACACATCAGCTACAACTCCTGTAAACAGGGATGCCTGAAAAATCAGTTGAAGTGGAATGCTGAGCTCAGGTGCACATTCTCTCAGAACCCATGGTGAAACTCCATCTAGACCAACTGCTTTGTTCTTATTTAGCTCCTTGAGCATTTTTCCACTTCGTCTCCAGACACCTCTATGTGCTCTATGTTGTTCTCTGGAATTCTTATTGTATCTGGTTCCCTGAAGATTTCATTTTGTACAAACACACTTTGGAACTTTTCGTTTAGTGTTTCACACATTTCCTTTTCATTTTCCGTGAACCTATTTCCCATTTTTAACCTCTGAATATTATCCTTTACCTGTAATTTGTTGTTTATGAATTTATAGAATAGACTTGGTTCTGTTTTACATTTGTCTGCAATCCCTTTTTCAAAATTTCTTTCTGCCTCTCTCCTCACTGCCGTGTAGTTGTTTCTCGCATCTTTGTATCGCTGGTATGTTTGGGGGTTCGGCCTCTTACTGTATTGATTCCATTTTTGTGTCTTTTGGTCTCTGGCCCTCTCGCACTTTCTGCTGAACCAATCCTGTTTCCTAGTTCTGCATCTCTGTTTTGGTATAAATTTTTTTGTGCCTTTATCATATATTTCACAAAACCTGACATACATCTCATTCACTTCCTTGCCTAGCAACAAGTCTGTCCAATTATACTCACTAAAAAATTTTCTAAGGTTCCCATAATGTCCTCTCCGTGTGTGTGTGTGTGTGTGTGTGTGTGTGTGTGTGTGTGTGTGTGTGTGTGTGTGTGTGTGTGTGTGTGTGTGTGTGTGTGTGTGTGTGTGTGTGTTTGTGTGTGTGTGTGTGTGTGTGTGTGTGTGTGTGTGTGTGTGTGTGTGTGTGTGTGTGTGTGTGTGTGTGTGTGTGTGTGTGTGTGTGTGTGTGTGTGTGTGTGTGTGTGTGTGTGTGTGTGTGTGTGTGTGTGTGTGTGTGTAACGTTTCATGGTCATTTAGCAAGTAGAATGCGTGCGTATATGACACATGGTATGTGTGAGTCAGGTGGCGTGCGTGAGTAAGCTAAAGTGGTCCAGTTATTAACCTTGAGACTAGCAGGAAAGTATCGTGCCAGCGCTACCGAGCCCAGCGACCAACCAGCTCGAAGCATATTTCTAACAACCGCAATACGTGCACACGCACTCGTATGTACACATTCTCAAGGATCAGAGTTCTGTACGCAACACAACAAATAATAAGCACACACACACACACACAATAGAGCCCAATAGGCTCAGGAATCTGTACACCAGTTGATTGACGGTTGAGAGGCGGGACCAAAGAGCCAGAGCTCAACCCCCGCAAGCACAATTAGGTGAGTACAATTAGGTGAGTACACACACACACACACACACACACACACACACACACACACACACACACACACACACACACACACACACAATGGAATATATGCAGAGGGAGGAAGAACTTAGAGCCAAGACAGTCCGGGAAATGATGGACTATATCAAACTGAGATTAAAAGAAGTAAGAGATTCATACCCTCAGTGAGAAAACAAAAGTAGAATAGAATATAATAACCTGCGGTTCAATAGACAGTGTCTATTGAACCACAGGTTATTATAAAGAAGCAAGAACGGCAAGCAGGAGGGAGTGGAAGAAATAAAGGTCAAGGGACAGGGGAAAACCGGAACAGATGCAACACATCTAGGAATGAATACATCAATAAACGACGAATATCGGAGAAAAACTAGGAAATTTATATTTCTTCGAAAGGAAATACACAACCAAAACTCTTATATAACTCATATAAGAAAGACAATAACAGTGAACGGCCCAGAACGGCCCCAGCAAGCATAAGAAATATTGCCGGAACAACCGTGGACATTTTCAAGAGGAAACTAGATTTATTCCTCCAAGGAGTGCCGGACCAACCGGGCTGTGGTGGGTATGTGGGCCTGCGGGCCGCTCCAAGCAACAGCCTGGTGGACCAAACTCTCACAAGTCAAGCCTGGCCTCGGGCCGGGCTTGGGGAGTAGAAGAACTCCCAGAACCCCATCAACCAGGTATCAACCAGAAGTGAGACTATTAAATATTGAGGTAACAGCCGAACAAGTGCGGAAACAACGAGCATCACTAGACTAAACCAACGCTATTGGACCAGACAATGTATCACCGTGGATGTTAAATGAAGTAGCACAGGCCCTCAGCGTATCTCTTTTAAATGAAGTAGCACAGGCCCTCAGCGTATCTCTATCACTGATCTTTAATGAGTCATTTAGAAAGGAAGAATTGCTCAGCTGCTGGAAGAAGGCAAATGTGGTACCCATTTACAAAGAAGGAGGTAGAGAAGAAGGCACTTACTACAGACCAGCGTCTTTGACAAGCATACCTTACAAAGCACTCATAATAATAATAATAATGATTATACGACTATAGTTACATGCCTGGAGAGAATTAGGTTACCTTGAGGTGACCTTCAGGTGCTTCCGGGGCTTAGCGTCTCCGCGGCCCGGTTGTCGACCAGGCCTCCTGGTTGCTGGACTGGTCAACCAGGTTATTGAACCCAGCTGCTCGCAGCCTGACGTACGAATCACAGCCTGGTTGATCTGGTATGTAAACAAATATCAACGTGGTTTTAGG